GAATGGAATGAACTACCAGAGGAAGTGGTAGGGGCTGGTACAATTACAACATCTAAAAGGCATCTGGATGGGTATATGAATAGGAAGGGTTAAGAGGAATATGGGCCAAATGCTGGCAAATGGGACTGGATTAATTTGGAATATCTGGTCAGTATGGATGAGTTGGACTGAAGGGTCGGTTTCCACGCTGTACAGCTCCTTGACTCTGACACTTATGTTGTTGCATTATTTCAAACATATCTAAATTAAATAGCAACTCCTATGTGTCTATGCACTTCATCAGTCTATCTATCTATGTCCTCCTGAGCTTTGCTGTAATCATGCCCTCTATTTACAGCATTTCCAAGTCTCATACCATCTACAAACTTTGAAATTGTACTCCCTATAAGTCCAAGTCACCTACATAATGAGACCAGCAATGATTCTAGGGGACGCTATTAAATACTTCTATCCAGTCAGAGTAGCATCCATTCACCACTATCCTGTGTCTCATATTCCTTAGCTGTTATTTACCAAATTCATCCCAATTCATTCAATACCATGTGCTATTATTTTCCCAGGAAAACAGGCGAGTAATCCTTTATCCAAAATCTTTTTAAAAAATGCTCATCTTCAACATCCAACACGTCCTCCAACAATCCTTGGTCATTTCATCAAGGAACTCAATTAAGTTAATACAGTGCAATTTGCATCTAACAAATGTATGCTGGGTGCCCTTTGTTAACCCATACTGCTTCTGGTCAGAATTAATTTTGACTCTGACAACATTCTCCTGTAATTTTACCACAGCTAATATTAGAGGAGAAAATTACTTGAAATCTGTTTAAAATCTACGCAACCAAGAAAATAAATCCAGTTTAACAGCCTTCCAGAACCAGTGCCATCAGTGGAATTTTGCAATGTTGACTCAGTTGCATGGTTAGTTTTGTGGAGGAGAAAGTAAGGGGCCTAGTTCAGGCAAGGTTGGATTTTAAGTGAGGGGAAAACAAACCACAAAAGCAAGTGATTTCGACTGTACCTTATTGATTTGTTGCTTTAACTGGTTCTGCCCAATTGCTCTGAAATGACTTATTCAAGTGAATGGGAATTCAACCATCACCTTCAGCAAAGCATCAAAAGATAGTATATTAGACCATACCTCAGAGTGTACATCACTGAGCAGGCCATTAATGGAGCAAAGTCTGTTAAAATTGAATAAATTAATGGTGTATACATGCTCCTAGAGCCACTACTGGTGTTTGGAGGCGGATTAGTTTGGAAATGTTGGCTTACTGATACTGTCCTCAGTTATTGCTGCTGTTTACTTTAGCATGGACAGGTATTTTCAACAAAATTTCTGTTTCCTTTCCAGACAGAGGTGGTGTATGTAAAATAGAAAAGAAAGAACAGGTTAGTTTTTCCTACTTCTTGGGATCTGGGAGAGAATATCAGACAAGAAAGACAGGACATGCCAAATACAGGTTGAGACAGTTAATGCTAGAATAGAGAATAGTTGGTTAATAAGTGGAATCAAAAATAAGAGAGAAATTAAAATATTCTAAGTCAGAGTTATAACGCATTTTTGCGCATGCATGGAGGACAGTAAATAAGATGGATGAGTTACAGATGCAGGCTGCCATGTGGAATTATGAATTAGTGAGACATGGCTCAAGGAAGGGCAAGCATAGATGTTAAGCATTCCTGGATGCAAGGTAGATCTGTGCAGGAGAAAAGGAACGTCCAACACAGTTCGGTAGAATTGATGCGGCTAGAACTGAGGAACAAAAAGGTGCAATTGCATAGCTCAGTGCAGTCTATAGACAACCAACTATTGGAAGCATGTAGAGATGCAGTATGTGTTGAGTCTAATGGGAAAGTGTTCAGTCCAGTTGGGTCTTGGGAATGAGGTGGGCCAAGTAGACAAAGTGACAGTGAGACCATATTTTGGAGACAGAGATCATTGTATCAGGTTCAGGATGATGGTGGAAAATAACAAAGAATCCAGAGTAAAAGTAACTAACTGGGAGTGATACCAGAGCTGGGGCAGTTAGACTGAAGCCAATAGTTGGTGGGAAAAATGGTCACTGAACAATGGGTTACCTTCAAAGAAGAGATAGGTCAGACATGCTGAATATATATTCCCTCAAAATGGAAAAGTAGGGCAAATAAATCCAGACCTCCCTGGATGAAAAAGGAGGTAGACATTAAGGCAAAGAAAAAAAGGATTTTTTGACAGGCATCAAACAGAAAATACAATTGAGAACCAAGCTGAATGTAGAAGGTTCAGAACAGAGTCGAAAGGGAAATAAGCGAAGTAAAATGGGATTATGAAAAGATGCTAGTAGCAAACAGAAAAAGAGAGCTCTAAAGTCTTCTACATGCTCATACATGGTTAAAAAAAAAAGTACAAGAAGAAATAGGACTAATTAGAGTCCAAAATGGGATTTACAAATGGAAGCAGTGACACAGATGGTACTAAATAAATACTTTGCATCTGTCTTTATAAAGGAAGCAGATATAACCTAGGACATGGTGACAGACAATGAAATTCAGGTCATTAGAATGGCTGAAAATTAATAAGTGGATAATATTGGATAGAATGTTAGTACTGACAAGATACTGGAACTGTATGGAATACTTCGAAGGATGCTTAAGGAAGAGACTGTAGAAATTGTGGGGGCAGTGGCCATAAATTTTCACTCTTCCTTAGATTCCAGAGTGGTGCTAGATGACTGGAGAACTGTAAATATTGCATCTTGTTCTACAAATGGTGTAAAAGATAAGTCCAGCAGTTACAGCTTAACTTTGGTGATGGGAAAACTTCTAGAAACTATAATTTAGGATAGAATTAATCTCCCAATATGGGCAAATGTGGGTGAATGAAGGTGAGCCAGTTTGAATTTCTTAAGGGAGAAATCATGATCAATCAACTTGCTGGATTTTTAAAAAGAAACAAAGAGAATTGATAAGGATAATGCTGTTGATGTGGTGTACAGGGATTTCCAGAAGGCATTTGATACCATGCCAACAGAAGATTTATCAGCAACTTTGAACTCATGGAATAAAAGGGCCAGTAACAATGCAGATATAAAGTTGGCTGAGTGACAAGAAACAGAGTGTAAGGTTAGTGGGTGTTTTTTTGGGCTGGAAGAACGTTTGTAGTGGAATTTCCCAATAGTTGGTATTGGGGGCCATTGCCTTTCCTGATATATATTGATTACATTCGCTTGGGGTACAGGGGACAGTTTCAAATTTTGCAGATGATACAAACCTTTGAATAACTGTAAACTGTAAAGAGGGCAGTGTTGAGCTTCAAAAGGACATTTACACATTGGAGGAGTGGCCAGAGAGGTGGCAGTTGAAGTTCAATGCAGAGAAGTGTGAAGTGACTATGCTTTGGTAGAAAAAGAACATGGTGAGACCATACAAAATGAAGGCTATTATAGAGTGTGTGCAGAAGCAGAGAGACCTGGGGATGTACGTGTATAAGTCATTGGAGATGGTAGGACAAGTGAAGAGAGTAGTTAGGACAAAATCCTCAGCTTTATTAAAAGGAAGAGGAGCAAAAGTGCAAGGAGGTTTTTGCTGAATTTGTACTACATACTCGTTAGATGAGGTCTAACTTATGTGCAATTCTGGGAACCACACTTCAAGAAGCGCGTGAACACAGTGGAGAGAGTGAAGACGAAGCTTACAGGAATAAAGTTTCTCATCCCTGGGACCAATTACAAAGATAGATTGAAGAAGTTGGGGCTCCTCTCCTTGGAGTGGAAATGACTAAGATATTTGAAATTTAAAATAATTTGGGGTCTGGATAGAGTAGATATGGAGAATCTGTTCCCATTCATAAAAGGGCTCAAATTTATTAGCAAAAGAAGCAAATCCAATGTGGCAATAAAAAACATTTCCACATAGTGAGTAGTTAGGGCCTGGGATGTACTACCTGACAGTGTACAGAGGTAAATTCAATTGTGGCATTCAAATTGCATTAGATTATTATTTGAATAGAAATAATGTTCAGAGTTACAGGGAAAGACAGGAGAATGACACTGAGTCATAATGCTCATTCGGATTGCCTTCTGCACCATAACAATTCTGTGATTCTCTTATTGCGATACATTACTGGCTGCCAATGAGGGATGAGAAAGCTGTTTACATCTTACAGAATGCAAAGCTTTTGTCACAAATGAGGTAAACAACATTAGTTTAAATGTACTTGCAGAGTGTAATATTCTATTTCAGTGTTTATTTGATAGAACTAATTGATTCAAAAGGAAGTCTTTGAACAAAACCACATCTTCTTGTTGCAAGGTTTTAAATCTGTAAAGTATTTCTCATGAAGCATCATCTATCTGAAATGTTAACCACTTCTCTCTCCATTTATGCTGACTGGACTGCTAAGAGGTTTCCAGCACTTTCTGCTTGCATTTGAGATTTTCAGTGCCGCAGTATTTTGAGTAGTTGTTTGTGGACTTCAGCTTTGTAAATTTATACCAATTACGTATGAAATAGGATCTTCTAATTTTGCTTTGTGAATAGCATTCCATTCACTGTCTCTTACATGTAATCTACACGACTGGCCAACATTTTAAATGTCTGACGCAAATTGAAAAATTAGGTTGGAGGTTTCAGTCATTGGGAAGTGCTGGCACATATGATGCATTGAATATGTACTGGAATAATTCGATTATTATTCAGACCAACATTTGAATATTCAACCTGTCAAGCTGACACTGAATTGGAAATAGCAACATTATTGAATTGGAAATAGCAACAGTACATTTCAGTAGTCTTCATTTCATATCTTACTGTTAAAGCAGTGTGTTTATTGTATGCTATGAGCTGGGAAGTGCTTTGGATTGTTATAATGTTGTGAAAATCTTCTTAATACATGCTTGAGGTGTTGAATATCATGAAATATGGAAGTTGAAATGATAGAACTAACAGGGAAAATGGGAATCTTAAAATAAGTTGGACAGGACCATTTAGTTCTGTCAAAGAAAACTGTGTTAATTACTTACTCGCTTCCTTTTTGACTTTATCCATTTCTGACATTAGAGCAACTTCTCGATCCATGATACTGGAATGTTAAAATGGAGGCAATTAGAACTGTCTGCAAGCAGTATTTATTGTACATGTGCTTCTCAATGTTGAATTGAAACATTGTCTATTTTTAAAAATAGACAGTTCAGAAAACTCCAGAGATGAATGTTTGTTTTAAAAACAGACCACCCATTCTTCCAATTATTCTGGTGAGACAATACTTTTTTTTTGTAAATAAATCTACATTATTGTGAAGCATATGATAGTACTAGAGCTGAATTTTCACTTGCTCTCCATCCCTGAACAGTACCCCATATGATCTTGGGCTTTGCAAATGTGGCAGGTTTCACATAATAACATCCCCTTTACAACTTTTTTTTTTGTAGTAACGAATGCAAGATGCCAAAAAAAAAATCTCAAGAATGGTATTCATTCCTAAAAGAAATGTGTGGAATAAATATGCTACTACTTTTAAGGATTCAAAATTCTGTTTGCTAGATCAGCAGTTGCACAGGGTAAAGTTTTATCTGTGAGATGGATGCAATAGTGTTGAGTTTTAAATGTCAAAAATCTGAAATGTTAACTCATTTTCTCTCTCCACAGATCTAGTGAAAGTTCTCTGTTTTAATATTCTACACGTATGTGGTAGGAATTGCTTTAGCTTGTCCCACCGGATTCAGAGAATTTGCTGACTGTACACCTTGATGTGTAATTTGTCTGCCTGAAAATATTTTGTGATTGGCTCCAAATAGCTAGGTTTGTTCTTCATTTCCATTGAATTTCAAAAATAATCAACAAAATTATTCAATATTGTTGTAGCTGTAACTTGTTAAAATTATCTCCGCAAGTGTTCTGCTTTCATGCCACCATAACCACACATTTTCATCCTACTACTTAGGAAGGGAAAATATTTCCTTATTATTAAAAATGATCATAGTAAACTAGTTAGAGCTCTTTGCCAACAACACTGTTAGCCAGCACTAAAGTGAAATAGATAGCATACAAGATGGTGAGTGACGAGGCCATTTTTCCACCGTGAAATACAGATCATTTTAAAGTTTAAGATACAAGAAATTAACCTCGAATATGACCTGCTGAGAGGTGCTAACATTGATTGTCCAGGAGCAGAAAAATGAAACTAAAGAATTCAATATACAAGTCAAGACAGTCTCTAACACGTATCTGCATTTATTTTCTTTTTTGCGACTGAATATTATGTCAAGGATTTCTTCCATGTTTATGGTAACATGTTAAAAATACACATTTTGTATTTTCTTTTTATTTCTACTGAAGGTGCATATCCGCTCGTCAGCTTGATGCTGGTGCATATAACAAAATTCATTCAACACATGGATGGAAAAAAAGCAGGGGATAAATCTGGAGACCATAAGATACAGTTGCAGAATTAAGCCAATCGGCCCATCAAGTCTGCTTCTACATTTGACCATGGCTGATATGTTTCTCAATCCCATTTTCCTGCTTTCTCCCCATAATCCTTAAACCCCCTTCCAATCAAGGGCCTATCTGTCTGTCTTAAATACACTGAACGACTAAGTCTTCACAGTCCTCTGCGGCAAAGAACGCCACAGATTAAACACTCACTGGTGAAGAAATTCCTCCTCATCTCAGTTCTAAAGGGTCATCCCTTCACTCTGAGATTGTACCGTTAGGTCCTGGTTTCTCCTATTGTTGGAAATATCTTCTCCATGTCCACTCTATCCAGGCCTCTCAGTATTCTGTAAGTTTCAATTAGATCCCCCTCATCCTTCTAAACTCCATCGAGTACAGGCAGGCTCCTCAACTGCTGCTCATATGATAAGCCCTTCATCCCCGGGATCATTCTTGTAAATATGCTCCAGATCTCCTCCAACACCGGCACATCCTTCATTAGATACAGGGCCCAAAACAGCTCACAAGATTATAAATGCCATCTGACCAGAACATTATACAACCTTAGCAGTACATCTCTGCTTTTGTATTCTAGCTCTCTTGAAATGAATGCTCACATTGCAACTACCAACTTAACCTTGCATATTAACCTTAAGAGAATCCTGAACAAGGACTTCCAAGTCCCTTTGTGCTTCAGATTTCCGAAGCCATTCCCCATTTAGTGAATAGTGTATGCTTCTATTCTTCCTATTAAAGTGCATAACCTCAGGTTATGAGATTTACTACCTGCCACTTCTTTGCCCACGCTCCTAGATGGTCTAACTCCTTCTACAGTCTCCCTGCTAACTCAACAAGACCTGTCTCTCCACCTTTGTGTCATCTGCAAACTTGGCAACAATGCCCTCAGTTCCTTCATCCAGATCCATAACGTATAACGTGAATAGTTGAGATTTTTAAATTATGTGTCAATAGCCCAGTATTTCTATCGGTGTTCAACATCATTGAGAAATGTTGAGAAGTACATGTTATAGGCTGCAGGACTGCCCCTGCAGATTACTGTTGTCACAAATCCAGGGAGTTAGGCTGGTTCCAAGAAGAGATTATATTTCCTAAAACAAATCACTGACCTCAGAGTTTCTTGATCACACATTATAAAAATACATGCTTTTAAAAGTGATGCTTAAACATATTGTAGGCCTTATCTTTCAGAAATTAGCTTTAGATGCAGAAATATAGCCTAAGTTTCTCTTCATAAGAATATTTAATTTACCTTTTATGTAAGATTTCTGCACTGTTTGGCATTTCATTGCCATTTTCTGTTGATTTGTTTTTCTGTGAGCAATGCAAACAGGACATTTCATGGATCAAACAAAGTTTGCCAGCTGGATAAGGCAGTACATTTTGGCAAACACCTCTTATTGTTAATATAGTGCTAGGATTTTGCACCAGAGGAATTTCATTATTACAGCATCAGCAAATACAGGAATAAAATTGGGTAAAAGTCCTGAAGCAAGTTGCCAAGATTGTGTGAAGAACCAGAGCATGCAAACATAAATGAACATTTGGTTGCATCACTATAGCATTAAATCAGATAGCAGTAACAGATGCATTGACTGTAATGTCTAAAAAAGATATGGAAGTAAGGAGGAATGGAGTAGGAAAATTAATTTTATGCTGCATTTGTAAAGCACTGACACAGGCACGATGTCTGAATGGCCTCCCTCTGCTGTAAACATTTATGGTTTGAAGATTCTGAAGGCTAAAAGCCAACTTCGGTCGCACACAATAACAACAACAGCATCTATTATCTAAATAGAGCTTTTAATACAGTTAAATGTCCCAAGGAGCATATTGTTTAGACTTACTGATTTGTTTCACTCTTGGCTGTAAATGTTGATAATTCCACAATTTAATAGCTTACAAATCAAATTCTTTGAAATAAATTAAATGTTATATTGTACTTAACAGCAAATATCTGGCAGTTGGGTTGTGTAGATGCTTAGAACCAAACTTTAACGGAATAGTTGAAAACATGGAAAGAAACATTCAATGGAATTGGATCTAACTCACTGGTGGTCACAGTCAGTAGAACATCCTGCCATTACAGGGAATCTCCCCTTGCAGAAATGGTGATGGGTGAATACTCATTGTTACTCACATTTTGGTCTCTCACTTAATCTGGTACAGCTCTGCAAGGTTGGAGGCTAGCACAATAATAGAATCTAACATTCGCTGTCTTCTGACCATGAGTATTTTTAAGTTGTCATTGGGAAATGTGTTTTTAGAAGAGGGCAAATGCAGCCAGAAGTGGGGCCGCAGATGTAAAGTAAGAGGCGACCTGGAGGGAGACACTGACAAAATGGTATGTTTATTGATGCAAGAGGAACTCCACATCTCAGACCTTTAGTAAGGGGAGAAAAGGCGATTGAAAACAGACTGGACTGTGATCTTTTGTGACTACAAAGGACAACAAGGGCTGATGACATCCTGCTCAACAGCCAATTACCCACTACGGATTATGTTCCAAACTTCTGACACATTTTGTGATTCTCCCTTTGAAGGATACACAAGGATAGGAGATAAACATTTGTCTTAAGCTCTACTGGATTGAACTAGTGGGAATGAATGCTCTAAGGTTTTGGAGTAGATCTATAGATCACAACCCGACCAATGAATGCTATCATGATACTTAAAATGGGTTAAAAGGTTCTTTGGCTATGAAGATTAAAATTGAAGAACTATCCCCTCATTGTAGACCCCCAAGATTCTATATCCATTTCAGTGCTAGATATCAGCTAGCTAGCAGCCAGAGAAAAGGGAAACAGGACAAGGAAGGACGCTCTCTCACCCTGAATGCTGAACTTCAATTATGGTTGAAAGAAACCAGAACTACAGAATCTTAACAATCTGCAAAACTAAAGATGGTGAAATGAACAGGACAACACTAGCAGTGGCTGCAATGTTCAATCTTCAATGTTCAATGTCCAATGATCTCTTTACAAACAAACCAGAAAATGATCCACTTTTTGTTTGAGAAAACCATTATCTTTATAGAGTCATGTTTTATTTCTAATACCCGTCTGTGTGTCTGTCGTGTTCCTGATTCTTCTCATATTTAATATTTAATAAACTCACTCTTTGTCAACCAAGAAAGCTTGATTCCATTGGTTTATTTGGGTCTGGGAGAGAGATTTCCACAAGGAGACGGATATGTTTTTAAATGAACCTTGTTGCAAACAGCTGAGGGGTTGGAAGAATAAAGAGGGGGAGCCAGCCCATCCCTCCTCATTAGGAAGCTTAGGGTATCTCTGGCTTCGTTACAGTTCCAGAGTAACTGTCTCTCCTTGCCTGGGGTCGAGGCATCACAACTGCATAACTTATTTATATCAAAGAAAAGGAGACTGATGTTGTGGGCTGTACAATAAATCACATCTTGCAAAGATTTGTCATATTAAGGTGCTCTGACAGATAGTTGGAAAGATTTAGGAAGGTCGGTAACGGAGTTGCTAGTATATATTCATGTTAAAGAGGTTCAAAATGTAGAAAAATTTAGGGTAGGATTTTCCCTGCAGGATTCTAAATCTTGCCGTTGAGCTCAAATGTGGGACAAAAAGCTGCACTGTGTGGGGAAACAGGCACTCATTGAGATCTTCCCTGTGGTGATTAGTTAATAGCCAAAGGGCATCCTGCCCATCCCGTGACTTTATTGAAATGTACAAGATTCTTAGGGAACTTGACAGTGTTACTCCCCTTTGTGGGAAAGTCGAGGACCAGAGTGCATAGCCTCAGAATAAGGGATCACTCCTTCAAGACAGAGTCGAGGAGAAATTTCTCCTCTTAAAGCGTATTGAATGTATGAAATTCTTTACCACATCAGGCTGTTGAGACTGGGTCTTCATGTAATTTCAAGGCTGACTCAGACAGATTTTTAGTCACTAAGTGAGTCAAGGGTTATAGGGAAAAGACAGGAAAGTGAAGTTGAAGATTTATCAGATCAGCCACGATCTCTGAATGGCAGAGCAGATCAGATGGGCTGAATGGCTTACTTCTGCTCCTATATCGATGGTCTCATGATAATGAGGTAACTGGAGGGTCAAGTCGTGGTCTTTCAGCTCGAAAGGATCAGCAAGTCTGACTTCGTTAAAGTTTAAACCAAGACATATGCATTGCAGTCACATTATCTGACGGGAAGGGTACATGAAACCCAATTCTAGGAACCCCATTATAAACAGGCTCTGCGGCTTGCTCCTATACCCATCCTCTAGATCTCACAATTCCCAGTCAGCCTCAGCTCATTGCGAACCACTTGTTACCAATGAGCTGTGTCAACTGACTGCTGTATTGTCTGTCATCTGAGGCAGTCAGTTTCTCAAAAGGGTGAGCAGACATCACGAGATAATCACCTCCCATGACGATATATTCCTGGGAGAAAGTAACCAGCTGTTTTAGGCTTTTCCTCAGTGTCAGATGAAAGCGCTAAACTGTATCTAGCTACACAGAAGCTCCACTTATGATTCATAAGTCTAGCCTGTGGTCTCATAACAGACTCAGATATGATGTAATGAGTTAATAAATATTGTGTAGTAAACGTACTCTATTTAAAAAGATTGATGTTCTTTTCTGCCAAAAGGCATGTTTGGGCGCCGCTCCCCATTCAGTATCAGTAACTCAGACAATTACTAATAAGAAGGATTAGTGGCAGCGAATCTCAAGCATCTCAGATGGTACTGGTGAGTGCGGCCACAAGTAGGTGATCCCTTACCATATCATCCCACACCTCCACCACTATAGAAATGATCAAGTTCAGCACGCACCTGGGAACTAATGGTACTATTTTTAGCTTCCATCCATTCTTGACCCCCATTCCAGCACAGACTAGACATCAAAACCTCAACATTTAACAAAAAAACAAAGCCAAAAGAACTACAGATGCTTTAAATCAGAGACAAAAATAGAAATTGAAATTGTTCTGAGGAAGGATCACTCGACATTAATTCTGATTTCTCTCCAAAGATGCTTCCAGACCTGCTGAACTTTTTCAGCAATATCTGTTTTTGTCTCAACACTTACCTGATAGCTCCAAATTCTCTCCTGGAATAAAACTATTGTTCAAGAAAGTTACTTGGCCCCAAATAATGATTTATTGAGGCCGTGGTTTAATATTCTGCCCAGTGAGTATAATTTTATTTCAAATCTAGATGAGCTGACCTTATGGTTCTTCCAAAAGAACAGTCCAGTCTTAGCTCGGGCACTAACTACACTTTGATTATTTTTAGTGATGGACAGACATTGTCACGTAAAAAGAATGATTTAGTGTTGGTCTCTGTCATGCCAGTTCCTACCACGTAATAACCAGCCCTCCAACACAACAACCACGACTCTCTCTCCTGCAGTGCAGCCTTCTCACTAAAAATCTGCAAGACAGCTGGTTGAACCAATCTCAAAAAATGCTGCAGTACGCTCCTGTGTTTAAAAAGGGTAGCGTTAATGTGTATTGCACCACTTTCTGACCACATTTGGAAGTACTGTATACTTTCCTAGTCTCCATGTTGTAAAAAGATTATATAGCAGCACTGGGAAAAAGTGAAACAGATTTACCAGATCGATAACAATAACTCATCACTTATAACTAACAGGAAGGATTTAAAAGTCTGGAACTGTTTTATTTCAAGCAAAGGAGAGGATAGGGGATGTCCTGGTGTAACCTTTTTCCCAGATTATTTATAGAGATTGTTAGGGAAGACATAGAGAAAATGTTTTTCCCAGTCGCAGGGACAGAACTAGGGGCTATAAATAGAAGAGAAAGTGAAGTTTAATACCCTCCAGGGAGGGAAGTTTGGTGTCAGAGGGCTTGTAATCAGATAGGAAGATGGACGTTGGGGCCCCTGTCTTCCACACACATCTGCCACAAAGGATCATGCAATGAGATCCTATAGGGGGCACTACTGCAATAGGTGTCTCATCAAGCAGGGTGATCAGCTGTTGGGGTACAAAAAACAATAAGGGACTCTTTGGCGTGAGGAATCTGTAGGAGTGGAAGGGGAAGGGATGTTACTGTTCAATCCGAGAGAATAGCAGGGGTTTGGG